ACATGAACAGACTTGACTTGACGAGGCATGAACAGACTTGACTTGACGAGGCATGAACAGACTTGACGACAGCGGGTTACAACATCAATACACGACAAGGGCACAATGGGAACATGATGGCTACTTATAGCTGACAAGAGGGTCACATGACAAGAACAAACCAATGGGAAACAAGACACATGACTAAGACAACCAATCAGAACATGACACAATGAACAAGAGAACCAATGGCATGAATACATGAGGGCAAGGGAAGCATGACACAAACAGGGACCATGATTAAACTCCAAAATAAAAGACATGAAAACATGAACAAGAAACACAACCCAAAATACCACATTACAACAATACAATCTTAAGTACTTTACATAACCTCTGAGAAACCTGTGAAAACTCCTCTTTCGTTGTTTCATTCAGGCACACTTCCAAGCAAATTAGAGGAAAACGAATATTTTTGAAGCTCTTAATCAACTGAACCAATGTTTCACAAAAGGATTTACTGTTTCGAAGCACCTGAAACACCACATTCTGGCAGCACCTGCTGGTTAAAATATTGTAAATGCAAAGAAATATAAAGGAAATATAAAGGTTTTTTATATTTCCTTTATATTTCATTGCATATTATAATTTTTACTTATCATCAGAATATTATTTTTATGTATCATTGTTCTTTTTTGTATTATGCACGCATAAGTATTAGAATGCACAAATAAAAATGAAGCTACACTATCCACCTAATTTTTCCCATAAAAGCGGTCACTGCCATTTGTTAATTTAATGTGTCTGGCTTCTGGTGTCATCCTTCCAGTGGTGCCATGCTTCCAGTTATTTTTAGATGTAAAAAACAGCTTGTTTTGCTTGATATTGCAAATTGGGGTGTCTTACCATATTATTTAAATGTATTATCTTAATTATGAACACACTGGCTTGTAGTGCAAACAGTTTAACCGTTTACTGCATGTTGTTATTCTTCTCGTTATTTCCCTATAGCGGCCAATGAACCATTATGAACACACTGGCTTCTAGTGCAAACAGTTTTACCATTTACTGCACTTTATTCTTCTTCTCGTAATTTCCCTATGGCGGCTAATGAACCGGAATTCTCACATGTTCACAGAAAACATCTCGGTTACATATGTAACCTTGGTTCCCTGAATAGGGAACGAGATGCTGCGATGACATCATTGCTATGGGAAACACCTTTGGTGTGACGAATGTCTGAAGGCCTTATACCTTCATGCCAATTCATTGGCCAATAGCACTTAGCACCGCCCCAAGAATACGTCACATATGCTTGTAGCAGCATGCTACGTGCAAATTCATCAGATTTCCACATTACAAAGGAAGTGCTATAAAAGGTACGGGAATGGCCAGCATCACGGAATCTCGTTCCCTATTCAGGGAACCAAGGTTACATACATAACCGAGATGTTCCCTCTCATAGGTTCACTCAATGCTGCGATGACATCACTATGGGAACAATATACCATAAAACCTTCATGTACCTGAAGATAGCTGGAAGACCAAGGAAAGCATCTGCTCAAGCGGACAAAACCTGGGAGCCAGGAGCCGTCCTTACATCCAGACTGTAAAACTTGATGAAAGTGCTAGAAGAGGACCATCCTGCCGCAGCACAAATATCTTCCAACGAAGACCCCTTAAAGAGAGCCTGAGAAGAAGCCATTGCTCTTGTTGAATGAGCACACACCCCTAGAGGCGAAGTCAAACCACGTGCCTCATAGGCCATAGAGATAGCCTCCACTATCCAATGAGACATTCTCTGTTTGCTGATGGCAGTCTCTTTGTTTTTACCACTAAAACATACAAACAACTGGTCAGATCCACGCCACTGAGCTGTGCGATCGACATAGAACTTCAACACCCTCTCCGGGCAGATGCACCCCTGCAAGAAATGGGAAACCACAGAGGGTGACATCCAACAGAAACACCTCCCATGGGTACATGCTCAGCAGATATGGCTGCCACATAAACCTTAAAGGGGTCATATGATGCGATTTCAATTTTTCCTTTCTCTTTGGAGTTTATTTTTAGCAACATCATATGACCCCTTTAAGAGTGGCAGGGCCACCCCCTTAGAAAAATGACTCTGAAGAAACTCCAGTATTGAGCCTACAGGGCAATGGACTGGGTCAAGATTGCGTTGCCTACACCAGGAGGCAAAAAGCTTCCACTTAAGGGCATACAAGTGTCTCGTGGAGGGAGCCCTAGAATTAAGAATAATGTTGGTAATCTCCGCCGAGAGACCATAACACATTAATGCACTCCACTCAGGGGCCACACCCATAACTTCCACAAATCCGGGCGAGGATGCTAAATCATGGCCCGAGACTGAGTCAGCAGGTCGTGTCTGAGGAGAACCTCCCAAGTGGGGCCGGCTAGCAGACTGACCAATTCTAAGAACTACGTCTGAGTGAGCCAGAACTGGATGTGAAGGTACGCATCCTTTAGATCGATAATCACAAACCAATCTTTGGTTCAGATATGAGACGAAATACATTTTAACATCAGCATCTTGAATTTGCTCACTCTGAGTGGAAGGTTTAGGCGACGCAAGTCCAAAATCAGACGTAAACTGCCATCATTTTTGGGCACAACAAAATACAAAAAACAAATGTGAGGGGTACTTCTTCTACAGCCCCTTTTCTCATGTAATCTCCACTGATCAGACGTAATTTTTTTTCGAGACTGAAATTCCTGTAATAATATGCAATGATTTTTGAATGTTGTATAGCATGGACAAAATGTTCATGTTGGATCACTGGTGGTGTCTCTCAACGCTGAGAAGGCTTTTGACAGGATAGATTGGCCCTATCTTTTCTGGGTTTTAGATAAATTTAACCTTGCTAACAATCTTATAAGATGGGTAATGCTGCTCTATATGTAACCGCAAGCCTCTGTCATGTATTTGCTCCAGTGATCGAGCTCTTGAGTTTTCCAAAGATAGAATTATTCAAATCATTAATAAATTCAGCAACTTTTCAATTTACATTTTCAAAGACCTGTGTTAAGTGTAAAATGGAAGACGGTACATATTTTAATTGTATTATTGACTGTTCTTAAGGCATTCTTAATGGCATGTCTTAATGGGAATCTCTCTGGACCTTGACCCACTGGTGTGTATTTTAGGGATTCTTTCATATAACACCTGGAGCTCTTCTTAGATCCAGCTGCTCAAAATGTTATTTACTGCCAGACACTGCATATTGCAGCAGTGGATTTCTGAAAAACCACCAACAAAGACACAGTGGACTAAGAGTGTATTGGACATTATTCCATTTTGAAGCCTTGAGTTTTTTTTCCTTAAAAACTATTTCAGTTTCACAAAACTTGGCACTCTTTTCTCTCCCACCTGGGAGACAGTTTGAGTTGGATGTTGAAGAACGGACTGCATGGCATTACATGGACCGAATTGAGGTGAACATATTTCTGGGTGCCTCCACCTGTTGTATTTTTCTTTTTTATTATTTAATTATTTATTACTACTATTATCATTAATATTTTTAGTTTTTTCCTGGCAATTGCTTTGCTTTCGACTGTGACAGTATGATTGTTTTACTACGATGCCTCTGAAGACGACTATTAATGTATGTTTTTTGTTGTTGTTTTTGTTGTTGCTCTTCTTGCAAATAAAGAAAAAAATAAATAAAACTTAGCAAAGTAAACCTTGGGAGAATCAAGGCTAGGGGGTCAAGTCTCGTCTGGCCAGACGAAACCAGCATAGTCTGGTTTAATTCCAGGCTGCAACTCAAGTCAGATTGAGCAGAGGACTTGTCTGATATTACCCGTCTGATATTACATGTCATTAATTACACTCTACAAAATTCTCCATTGCTTTTTTTGCATTTTATTTTACTCATCTTATTTATTGAAACGTTTTCATTATCTGTACAGCTGAAACAGGAAAACAGTATGAAGTCTCAGACTTCAGCATGAAGTCATTGAGTGACCCAAACCCATAAACAAAAAGACCACCAACAGGGAATCAAAGACAGAAAGTAAATATTCAAACTGGTGATCTAGTTGGAAGAAATAGTCACGTTGATCCAAGAGTGCAGCTGGGAGATGCTGGCATAGACTGCAGGGAAACGGGGGTCACAAGTGCTTCTTTCCCAAGACACAGAGCCCACCAGAGTCCAGACCCCTGAACTCTCACACACCAAAGGACCACCAGAATCACCCTGCGGAAAACACACATTTGAGACTGAACAGCAGCAACATTGATATGGTAATGTGTTTCTTCTTGATTTGTCTTCATATACCTGGCAAGAATTCTTGCAAAATACAGGAGACACTTACCCAGAGCAGAGGCCACCAGGGCAAGGCAGGTGATGGAGAAGATGGTGAAGGTCATGATGTAGATGAGTGTCTGATGTATCTCAATGATGTATCTGTAGGTGCTCTCTCTTGCTTTTATATCATTTACAGCAGCTGATCAATCTGAGACGTGATGGAGGTCCATCCCATCAGATCCAGTGAGCTCATAGCTGAGGAAAGTTTTTTATCTTCATTGTCCAGAGCTGATGTTTAACGAGCAAACATGATGAATTTTCCTTTGATTGACCGCATGAAGGGCTTTATGTCTTCTGACTATTTCCTTGAGAAGCATCATGATTTCAACTCTCTCATTGTATGTTATGATGTCATTGATTGTTTTGGATTAGAAGTAGCGTTTGTTGTTGCTGTGTTGAAATTTCAGTCAATTTATCATGCTATACTTGCAGTAAGAGAACTGCTTTCCCAATAAGTCTTTGACATTAACTAGTCACGTATTCAACCTTGGCAAGCCGTTGAAAGACAGTGATACTAAAGAGGATGGGACTAAAGTTGTGTCACTAGGTTTATATCAGTTATGAGAGCTGGGCTAAAGTAAAACTTAGTACTGATATCAGTTTCTTTAACACCACTTTAGATCAAATTAAGGACAATAAACTGGTCAAACAAGTTCTTTAAAAGTAAGATCTGACTCCAGATCTGCCTGCACACAGCAGGACTAATGATGGGTACGACTGTTTGCTGCAGGATCAGAGGGCTCGCTACAAAAGAGAAGAAATCATGACACATTGCAAGGCACAGTAAACAGATGTGTTTTTATTCTCTTTTTGTTTTACAGTTGACTGACTTGTGGAGGCGGTCTGGCCCCAGCCAGTGGTGAAGCAGCGGGTTCCAGGCAGGATGCGAGTGTTACGAACTTGTGTGCTTTTCTGCAACATCAATTACATTTTTTACATTATTTTCTAGAAAACATAATACGGTAAACTGCTTTTCTTTACTGATACAAATAAAAGTAATGCTTGTTACATACTGCTGATACATTTTATATATTAGGTTGGTTTATTTTATTTTTTTTATTAATTTTTGTTTCTTTGTTTGTTTGTAATCAGCACTCTGTCCATTGGTTATACGTGTTATATTTGTGTGTGGAAGATAAGGCTAGTTTGCCTTTACTATACAAAACCCTGGTCATTTCAAAAAAAATTTTGAAATTACCAGATATTTTTAAAAATCATTATAATTCATAAAATGCTATAGCCAGCTTTATTTTGTTTGAATCATGTTTACATGGTATGTCTACAATATAAAGTAATGGGTTCAGTTTTTCACAATTCAGATAGGGCTTTTGTCCCTCAAACCTCCTCATACAAGAAGACAATACAATCTTAAGTACTTTACATAACCTCTGATGACCTGCATATACATACAAGACGGATGATCAGTTAGTAGTGAGAGCGGAATTTTTAGACGGTAAATAGAGATGTAAGCATTTACTTACAACCTGTATTTTTAGAATGTGGTTTGGATGTTTTCTTTCCTGTACTGAATTTCATATTTTTAAAAAATGTTTATTTTGTTGTTAAATATTAGTTTATTTTGGCAGGTTTTAGGATTTCGAGGCGCCTGAAACACCACATTCTGACAGCACCTGCTGCTCAAAATATTGTAAATGCACAAATATCTTCCAACGAAGACCCCTTAAAGAGAGCCTGAGAAGAAGCCATTGCTCTTGTTGAATGAGCACACACCCCTAGAGGCGAAGTCAAACCATGTGCCTCATAGGCCATAGAGATAGCCTCCACTATCCAATGAGACATTCTCTGTTTGGTGATGGCAGTCCCTTTGTTTTTACCACTAAAACATACAAACAACTGGTCAGATCCACGCCACTGGGCTGTGCGGTCGACATAGAACTTCAACACCCTCTCCGGGCAGATGCACCCCTGCAAGAAATGGGAAACCACAGAGGGTGACATCCAACAGAAACACCTCCCATGGGTACATGCTCAGCAGATATGGCTGCCACATAAACCTTAAGAGTGGCAGGGGCCACCCCCTTAGAAAAATGACTCTGAAGAAACTCCAGTATCAAGCCTACAGGGCAATGGACTGGGTCAGGATTGCGTTGCCTACACCAGGAGGCAAAAAGCTTCCACTTAAGGGCATGCAAGCGTCTTGTGGAGGGAGCACTAGAATTAAGAATAGTGTTGGTAATCTCCACAGAGAGACCAGAACACATTAATGCACTCCACTCAGGGGCCACACCGGCCACACCCGGAAATCTGGGTGAGGATGCTAAATCATGCCTGAGTCAGCAGGTCATGTCTGAGGAGAACGAGGAGAACCGGGCTGGCTAGCAGACTGACCAATTCCAAGAACTACGTCTGAGTGGGCCAGAACTGGATGTGAAGGTACATATCCTTTAGATCAATAATCACAAACCAATCTCTGGTTCGGATATGAGACGAAATGGATTTTAACCTCAGCATCTTGAATTTGCTCACTCTGAGGTCAAGATTCAGGCAACGCAAGTCCAAAATCAGACGTAAACCGCCATTTTTTTTGAGTGAGGGGTACTTCTTCTATAACCCCTTTCTCTAGGAGTGACACAATCTCCTGACTCAACGCTGAGGCCTCGCAGGGACGCACCATCGTGGAAATAACCCCGCTGAAAGAACCCCGGCCCTTTCCGGAAAAGGATGGTGTAACCGTGTCGAATGGTATGTAGCACCCACTGTGAGATCTCGGGCAGGCATCGCCGCACGGCCCAATAGTCTGCCAGGGGCCTTAACCGTTCTATGCTTGGAAGCTGCTGAACTGCAGGTGCTGAGATATCCTCTGATTGCAGAGAGCCGTTGGCGTCTGCAAAAACAGGAAGCACATGTGGAGAGACCGTACTTAATGAACTCATTGTTATCATTGTAGAGCGGATGGGTGATGACCTGCATATACATACAAGACGGATGATCAGTTAGTAGTGAGAGCGGAATTTTTAGACGGTAAATAGAGATGTAAGCATTTACTTACAACCTGTATTTTTAGAATGTGGTTTGGATGTTTTCTTTCCTGTACTGAATTTCATATTTTTAAAAAATGTTTATTTTGTTGTTAAATATTAGTTTATTTTGGCAGGTTTTAGGAATACAATAGCATACATTTATACCTCAAAACTTCAATTAGAAAGAGACATGTTGACTGATATTTTTACCAATTTGCACACTTTTCAGCTGTAATATTGAGTTCACTGATTAAAAAAAACACAACTGTTTAACCTTTTAAATGATGTCCGTTCAATAACAAATGAGAATTCCAATTCCAATTAAACAATAACAATAATAAAATCTAAAACAAAGATTAAAACAATTTTGCAACCTTTTAGATCACACCTTTTCTTAAATTACATGACATAGTCCTACTACTAAACTATTTATAATGAATATGTTTTTGTAGTGTAATGATGACTTGGTTATTATTATGTTTAAAAAACACAGTAATAAAACATCAATTAAAAATTATTTCTGGCTGTATTCCGTATGTAATTAATATTGGCGAGAACAAAATCAATATCAATTGGTCTCTTTTTTTTTTCAATTTCAATATCTCTGATCCACTGAGATCATAAAACATTGTTACCTTGGAAACTAGTTGGATCTGGATGGGGTCATCATTGGAGCCACGATTATGTTCTCCAAGAATGACACGATGAGAGCCCACCCTAAAGAGAGATAAAAATAAAATGAATAGATAAAATACAGAAATAAACCAGACAGAGTATTTATGAACCACTAATGTATGTGATGTTTGTCAGATTGAAGAATCTTACATGACAGCGCATTGGGCAGCAGTGAGAACCCAGTTCTCGTTGATCAGGGATCCTCCGCAGAAGTGGAAACTATTGGGGAGCTGTTTCAAAGGTAAAAGCATTTAAAACATAAAATTTACTCTTTAAGCAAAGTAGACAAATATGTGGTTGAAAAACAGTAGCAAAAGACAATTCAGTTACCTGAAGAGAAACCTGCCAGGGCCAAGAACCAGAGATAGCATTCTGTCCGTTCACAATCCTGCTGCCGATCGTCTGTGGTTTAATCGCAGGCACTCCACAACCTGTTATTACAAAATGTAATACATTATTCATGAGGCAGGGGGCTCTTAATTTAGGTTTTACATTTTCTCTATTTGTCCATCATTATTCTTGCAAAATAAAGGAGACACTTACCCAGAGCAGAGGCCACCAGGGCAAGGCAGGTGATGGAGAAGATGGTGAAGGTCATGATGTAGATGAGTGTGTGATGTATCTCACTGATGTATCTGTAGGTGCTCTCTCTTGCTTTTATATCATTTACAGCAGCTGATCAATCTGAGACGTGATGGAGGTCCACCCCATCAGATCCAGAGAGCTCATAGCTGAGGAATGTTTAGATCTGTCATTGCTGGAGACAGTTTTTATCTTCACTGTCCAGAGCTGATGTTTTACGTGCAAACATGATGAATTCTCCTTTGTTTGACCTCATGAAGGGCTTTAAGTCTTCTGACTATTTCCGTGAGAAGCATCATGATTTCAACTCTCTCATTGTATGTTATAATGTCATTGATTGTTTTGGATTAGAAGTAGCGTTTGTTGTTGCTGTGTTGAAATTTCAGTCAATTTATCATGCTATACTTGCAGTAAGAGAACTGCTTTCCCAATAAGTCTTTGACATTAACTAGTCACGTATTCAACCTTGGCAAGCCGTTGAAAGACAGTGATACTAAAGAGGATGGGACTAAAGTTGTGTCACTAGGATTATATCAGTTATGAGAGCTGGGCTAAAGTAAAACTTAGTACTAATATCAGTTTCTTTAACACCACTTGAGATCAAATTAAGGAAAATAAACTGGTCAAACAAGTTCTTTAGATGTAAGAGTGTTACGAAATGGTGTGCTTTTCTGCAACATCACTTACATTTTTTAATTCATAAAATGCTATAGCCAGTTTTATTTTATTTGAATCATGTTTACATGGTATGTCTACAATATAAAGTAATGGGTTCAGTCTTTCACAATTCAGATAGGGCTTTTGTCCCTCAAACCTCCTCATACAAGAAGACAATACAATCTTAAGTACTTTACATAACCTCTGAGAAACCTGTGAAAACTCCTCTTTCGTTGTTTCATTCAGGCACACTTCCAAGCAAATTAGAGGAAAACAAATATTTTTGAAGCTCTTAATCAACTGAACCAATGCTTCACAAAAGGATTTACTGTTTCGAAGCGCCTGAAACACCACATTCTGGCAGCACCTGCTGCTCAAAATATTGTAAATGCAACGAAATATAAAATTGCTCTTGTTGAATGAGCACACACCCCTAGAGGCGAAGTCAAACCATGTGCCTCATAGGCCATAGAGATAGCCTCCACTATCCAATGAGACATTCTCTGTTTGGTGATGGCAGTCCCTTTGTTTTTACCACTAAAACATACAAACAACTGGTCAGATCCACGCCACTGGGCTGTGCGGTCGACATAGAACTTCAACACCCTCTCCGGGCAGATGCACCCCTGCAAGAAATGGGAAACCACAGAGGGTGACATCCAACAGAAACACCTCCCATGGGTACATGCTCAGCAGATATGGCTGCCACATAAACCTTAAGAGTGGCAGGGGCCACCCCCTTAGAAAAATGACTCTGAAGAAACTCCAGTATCAAGCCTACAGGGCAATGGACTGGGTCAGGATTGCGTTGCCTACACCAGGAGGCAAAAAGCTTCCACTTAAGGGCATGCAAGCGTCTTGTGGAGGGAGCACTAGAATTAAGAATAGTGTTGGTAATCTCCACAGAGAGACCAGAACACATTAATGCACTCCACTCAGGGGCCACACCCATAACTTCCGGAAATCTGGGTGAGGATGCTAAATCATGCCTGAGTCAGCAGGTCATGTCTGAGGAGAACCTCCCAAGTGGGGCTGGCTAGCAGACTGACCAATTCCAAGAACTACGTCTGAGTGGGCCAGAACTGGATGTGAAGGTACATATCCTTTAGATCAATAATCACAAACCAATCTCTGGTTCGGATATGAGACGAAATGGATTTTAACCTCAGCATCTTGAATTTGCTCACTCTGAGGTCAAGATTCAGGCAACGCAAGTCCAAAATCAGACGTAAACCGCCATTTTTTTTGAGTGAGGGGTACTTCTTCTATAACCCCTTTCTCTAGGAGTGACACAATCTCCTGACTCAACGCTGAGGCCTTGCAGGGACGCATCATCGTGAAAATAACATAGCTGAAAGGAGGTGGCCCTTTCCGGAATTGGATGGTGTAACTGTGTCGAATGGTATGTAGCACCCACTGTGAGATCTCGGGCAGGCATCGCCGCACGGCCCAATAGTCTGCCAGGGGCTTTAACCGTTCTATGCTTGGAAGCTGCTGAACTGCAGGTGCTGAGATATCCTCTGATTGCAGAGAGCCGTTGGCGTCTGCAAAAACAGGAAGCACATGTGGAGAGACCGTACTTAATGAACTCATTGTTATCACCTGACCCTCCTGCATAGGGCCCTGAAGCACGTGAGTGGCGGGAACCTCCGTAACAGGAAGTTGTCCAATCACCCAATAGGGCCAGCCCGCCACACCGAAATGGCGAGGAATCAAACAGTGGCAAGGAACCAAAATTCAAAACTCATTCGGACAGAAAGTATACAGTAATAAGGAGATTAACCCCCTGGGGTCATGTGCGGTCTGTCTTGTATTTTCTTGATGACCGCAAAAATAATTAAAAATACTCCGTCAATTTTGACCGTACAGATAAGAATAAGGTATCGTTTTAAACTGCAAAGGGTCTACTTTTATTTGTGTATAGTCATAATAACAACAAAACAATGTGCTTTTGTAAAATAAAGAAAATATACAGGGTGTATAAATGAAGTAACTCTTACCGAAAACAAATATTCTGTGATAAAATAATCCGTATGAAACCAAGGACAGGTCCAGTTTTTCCTATCTGTTCTCATTATCTCTAATTAGATCACGCCCACGCGCTGCTCGCTGCTATTGATATTACAAATCTCCACATGAGACGCACGACATGTAAACCGTAAACATCACCGTAAACAAAGCAGCAACATGTTCATCTCGGATACTTTTCGTTTTTGGAAGAAGACGGGCTGAGAGGAAAAAGCCTTGTATTTACCCCAGAAGACACGCTGAGAGGAAAAAGCCTTGTATTAACCCCAGAGCGCTGAGAGGAAAAAGCTTTATGTCTACCTAGTGTTGTTTTTGGCGGCCTGTTTTAATTTTAGTTTTAGTCTAGTCTTTGTGTGAAGCTGTCATTTTAATCTTTATTAGTTTTAGTCACGTTCATACTCTTTTTAGTCTAGTCAAGTTTTAGTCAACTAAATGTCTGAGCATTTTAGTCAGAATTATCCATGACTATTTTCGTCTAGTTTTAGTCGACGAAAACTGATGACATTTTAGTCTAGCTTTAGTCTACGAAAACTGATGACATTTAGTCTAGTTTTAGTCAATGAAAATTGTATTTTAGTCTCTTTTTAGAAATGCAATTCTATTTAACCCAGTCAATATAGTATAAGTACCTAGTAGTATAGACGAAACCAAAATTTTCTTTTAGCCAAACCCATTTCAAACAAGGTTATCTTATTATATTATTGTTACCTTATAGACTCAAGAATACATCCATTCCAGACACGGAAGACGCTCTGATTTGAATTTACAACATTTAATTTATTAACATTAATATTAATGTTATTTATAAACCGAGGTCCTGACTCTCAGTGGTCATTAAAAATCCCATGGCACTTCTCGTAAAGAGTAGGGGTGTAACCCCGGTGTCCTGGCCAAATTGCCCC